ATGACACCAAATTTTGCGTGAAAGTCTTAAATGACATTACAGAACTATTTTCAGTCTCGAAATTCCATTCGGACCTCGATATCACCAAAACCTAATCCAAACCAAATTTAAAGAATTTAAAAAATCTTCAAGAACCAACTTTCACTATTAGGTGCCGGAACGCTCCAGGGTCACCCAAAACCTAATACGAACATACACCCAAGTTCGAAATCATCATACGAACCTATTGGAACCATCAAATCACGATTCCGAGGTCGTTTACTAAAAATGTTGACCAAAGTCAAACTTGGCCTTTCAAGCCAACCTTAAGGAATTAAGTGTTCTGATTTCAACCCAAACTCTTCCAAATCCCGAACCAACCATCTCCGCAAGTCATAAATCAGTAAAAGCAAGTACAGAAAGTCTTATTTAGGGGAACAAGGTTCTAGCAAGTAAAACGACCGATCGAGTCGTTACAAAAGTCAAATAACTCTAGGAGTCTATATACTTACCTTTCCCTTCAGTGCGGAACTTCGAACGTGAGAATATTTAGTTATATTTGGAGAAGGGATAAAAAAAGTTAATTGATTTTGGAATTTTAAATATTTACAAATCTAATATAAAAGGAAATTTAGTACTAAGCTCTACAAATATTTATATTATTTTAAACGAAGTGGAACGTTCCTTATACCCTTTAAAGCCTTAACTTATATTAATTCATATAAAGTTAAAACTAAATTAAGTTAGATATCTTTTGTGATATGTTTTATGTTCCTTACTATTAGGATTACTACATAATTCACATAAATTGAGTTAATTTTAAAATTTTAAATAATAATGAAGTAATTAACTGATAATTTTTAAAGATGCAATCTAATTTTAAAGAATAAAAAAAGTACACCTATGTGGGTTTGTAGGAATATCTTTCATTATATAAAAAGAATTAGATTACCATTCCAATCTAACGTAAAATATTTTATTTTACTGTGCATAAAAAGAGAAAAAAAAGAATAAAGCAAGTGGAACGTTAGCAAGTCTAACAACCAAATCAAGTGGAACTTTAGCAAATCTAACAACCAAATCAAGAGAAACTTTAGCAAATCTATCGGACAAATTATGCAAAATATTTGACGGAGATCAAAAGTATTTACTTTTCGCAAATTAAAGGGCCAAAACATCTTAGAAATATATCTAAGAAATCATTTTGAACATACCTCCAAACATAAAGGATCATTTGTGTCATTTTCTTGTCAAAATAAGTTTTGAAAAAAAAAGACTAGGGTCAAAAGTGGAAGAGCAAATACTTGTCTCCTTGTTGTATTACTTTTAAAACCCCTAAAACCCTAAACCCATTTTCATCCAAGCCGCTCATAGTGTTCACTGTTGAAAAATGAGACCTCCAAGAGGACGTGGTGGTGGCGGATTTAGGGGCGGCAGAGACGGCGGCCGCGGTGGCCGATTTGGTGGTGGTCGTGGCGGCGGCCGCTTTCCTCCTCGCGATGAAGGACCTCCTTCTGAAGTCGTAGGTAAATAAAGTTGCATTAAACTGAATCTCTCTGTTTTTTTTTTTGTGTGTGAGTATTTTTTTTCTTTTTCTTTTGTGTGTTTAAGCTTTATGTGATGAAAAATGTGTTTTTTTGAATGGTAATATATGCAGAGGTATCAGCATTTGTACACGCATGTGAAGGAGATGCAGTAACAAAGCTCACTAATGAAAAAATCCCTTACTTTAACGCTCCTATTTACCTTCAGAACAAGACCCAGATTGGTAAAGTTGATGAAATTTTTGGTCCTATTAATGAATCTGTAAGTAATCTCTTTTTCCCATTTGTTATTNATTTGGTCCTATTAATGAATCTGTAAGTACTCTCTTCTCCCATTTGTTATTTGCTAGTACTAGTTTCTAATGCTATATGTTAGCTTTTAAATTTTCATGGATAAAGTTGTTGCTTTAAATCTTTAATATTCGGAGAAGGATCTAAGCTATATTCACTGACAGTGTCAATTTTTTTATACTATTAGTGTGTAGCTCAACCTTTGAAAATTTATCTGTAATTACCTCGTGTAATATTTTTGTACCGTTGGTGCACAAAACTTAAACTCTTCGAAAAATGATGCCATTCACTAATATTTTGTTGTTGTGGTGGTTATTTGAGGGGGGTCTTTGTTATTTTAGCATTTGGCTAAAGTTAATACTCCCTGTTCTATTTTATATGTCAGTATTTTGCTGTCAGATTTTAATGTGTTAATTCGACATATTATATTGGTAATAGTGGAAGAAATATTTGAAGGGATGATTGAAATGTTAGGTTAATGGAGAAATCATCACATCATTGTTTAAAAATTGAATCTTTAGTGAATTTCAAATCTTTTAAAGCTGTGGAGTTGTATAGAAGTGGTATGATGTCAAATCTTTTGGAATGTTCCAAAATATAAAGTGTTGTATAATTCAAATGGAGCAAGTAGATTCCTTCTTAATACAGCTTCTCGAGGAAACAAGGTAAATGGAAATACCGTTCTTGTGAGAAAAAAGAAATTTATTACCTCTGTAGCTCAATAGTGAGCTTTAATTAGGCCTCCAGGGCTTTAGTCCTAAGAGTGCAGCTTGTGTCTTGTGATGTGTGGCTTAGGCGTACATCATGGGTTCGAACTTTGCAACAGACAAAAGCCACAAAAACCTTTTGGGTGGAGCAACATAGAGGGAGCCCATTATCCAGTGAGTTTTGAACTGTGCGCCACTAGCCCTCGCGGATTTTTCGGTTATCAAATAATAGTAAGCCTTAACTAGAGAGACTGGCTTAGTGGTAGTACAATAGAATCAGGTTCTCATTGTTTAATGCTCCACTTACCTCTAGAACACCACATAGATCAGAAAAGTTTGATAATTTTTGTCATATTGGTGTGCCCTTGAGTAATCCATATTCCTGTATTACTTTCTTGCTTTCTTTGGGTGCAAAATTGTTGCTTTTATATTTCTGAAAATGATGATATTTTATGCTTTATTGCAGTTGTTTTCGATTAAGATGTCGGAGGGAATTATTGCAACTTCATATTCAGCTGGAGATAAGTTCTTCATTGACCCAGCTAAGCTTTTGCCACTGGCCAGATTTCTTCCGCAGCCCAAGTATGATTTCTCTGCTTTACTTCACGCTTCACACTTGATTAGTCCTTTCGTTTGATATTAGTATTTGTAGCCCTCTGGATATACTTGTATGCCGAATGGGCTAAATAAGCTATTGAGGAACAATGTCTATAGTTTATGTTCAAGAATAACTTGTAAAAGAGAAGAGTGTAAGATAAAGATGGTGAGAGCTTTCGGACTATATCATGAATTAGATTAGAATTGGCCCAAGAGGTAAGCAACTTGATGATACCTTTTAGCAAAGGGAGGAGATGCTGCAACTTCTACAATTTGTGGAATCAAATGTTTTTCATACAAATGGAGTATTATATTGTAATTCCAAATAGTTGAACTCAAGGACTTACCTGCTCTATAGCTACAGTTTCATTCAGATGAGCAAGATAACAAACCATCCCTTAAAATCCTAAAAACTACTTGCTTTGTTGTTAGTAAAATATATGAAGTTGCAGTTGGGCTTGAGAAACGGATTAATTTTTTGGGGCATTGTTTGATTGGTTTGCAGGTGACCTTCCATATTTTGTTTGCTTTTTGATGTTATGCAAATGCTTAAAAATATTCTTCACTGTTACAGGGGACAGCAACAAGCTTTTAGAGGCGGTGGACGAGGTGGAGGGAGAGGTGGGAGAGGTGGACGTGGTGGTTTTCGCGGTAGGGGTGCTCCTCGCGGGGGTAGAGGTCCTCCTCGGGGCGGTCGTGGAGGTGGTTTTAGGGGTAGAGGGAGATTTTAAAAAGGAATGTAATGTACTTTTGATTTCTCAAGTTAGTTTGTAATTCTGGATGATGTGACTCAATCGGGCGTATGTTATCAAAGTTCCTTTTTGTTAATGGAATCAGCCCTCCTTTATCTTTGTTTTGTTCCCTTTTTCCAGATAATTGGCATTGTAAGAATCTTTGTCCATTTATTTCCCATGTTTAACTGATTAGATATGTATAATCAACTCTTAGCTTGCGTTCGGTCATGCATTCTCAAATTTGTTTTAAAAAATTTATTTGAGTGAAGTTTGGTTTGAATATGAAAATCTGTTTGGACATCATTTTTTAAAACATATTTTACTTTTTTTTGTAAAAAAAACATGAAACGTGACTTATACTCGTAAGTTATAAAAACTATTAAATATACCTAACAATACCATACAAACAAACTTGCTAATCCTGTATATGCAAAACCTTCATTGATATCATTCATTATTATTATTATTATCATAAACCATAGTCCTGAACATAAATACATTATTCTAAAACCATAACTTGATATTTTAATATCAACTGCTAATAACACAATTACTAGCTACTACAGTTCGTTAAATTGCAATAATGTTATAAGATTCATCAGTCCAAAACTAGCTGGTGGATTAGTTGGGTCATAATAGATGGTGTTTTTTTTTTTATAGAATACTAAAGTTTGCGGTAATTTTGAAATTGTTAAAAAATCCAACGGTGACATTTTGAGCCAAAAACATGTCTAGAGCTAGTTGGATTTGGAAATTTTATTCAAAATCTGCCTAAATATGGATAAAATATATAAACAAACAGGTTTTGCCAAAAATATTTTAAAAAAAAACTTAGCAAAATCTATGGCCAAACGGGGACAGCATAGCCCATTTGGACTTGGTTATCAAGGTCCCTCATTGAGTGGCCTTGGTTTGTATATGTATTTTGCTTTTTGGTATGTGTGGTGGAGTGATTTGGTTACACGATTAAAGGTGATTGTTTAGTGGGAAATCAATTCTTCACCTCGTTTAGATATAAATAATAGGGCAGTAGAGCGATAAAAAAATTTAAGCAAGAAATTTACAGTGCAATAAGTTGTCTAATGGACTTTTCAAATGCAGGCACAATGATACTCAACAAAGGATCAAGTGACAAGTAAACAACAAACTAGTTTGCATATTGCGGATTTAGATTAAGCAAAGTGCATCTTTCAATGCTTTACATTATTATTCAGAAGCCACATTGTCCTTGGGTGAACATTTAGTTTACAAGATTTATCAAGGAAAAAAAAAGAAGGGCAGAAGGCGAAAAAGGTGGAGGTCAACCCAGAACATCAAATGGATAAAGCTTTTGCCAAAATTATGCTTAACACAAAACTTAATACAGACAAGCCACCGTGTGTCTCATTCTCAAGCTTCCCATCCCCTTAGAGCAGTTGCTCTAGCTACACGATTAACGCCCAATGTGAAGGCGCCCATTCGGAGATCACAATTGTGAGTCTTGCACATATCCTTAACATCTTTAAAGCCTCTTGTCATATATGTCTTCAGCTCAGCATTCACTTTATCCTCATCCCACATAAAGCCTTGGATGTTCTAGTATTTCAAAAACATCGACAAGTTGATAAGGTAACTGAGCTCTTGGAAGTTTTAACATGTTCTTGTGGTGCATAATAGAGTAAACAACAGAACAAGAACAATGCTTTGTGGCAAAGTATGAAAAAAGGTATAATACCTGAACCCACTCAAAATAACTAACGGTGACACCACCTGAATTAGCGTATATATCTGGTAGGATGACAACTCCTTTCTTTGCCAAAATCTGTAGAGGATTAGAATTAGTTAAAATGTTACAGTTGTCTTGTGCGTGTCTCAAATATGATCTGTAACTAACGCACTTGCCTATTCTACCTCCTTTTGTAACTTTTGCTTTACTTGCTTCTCGCATTCTTAAGTGGATTGTGAAAAAAGAAAAACAAAAACAATTATTGCTATTGCACTGACCTCATCAGCTTCTGGATCAGTCGGATGGTTAGCTGCCTCAATAATATATTTGGCTTTAATATTATTTGCATTATCCCTTCAATGACAAGTTCAAACGTATCACAAATATGACACGAAAGGCTTCTTGATAACTAGTTCAATGCAAAATCATGAAAGTACCTGTTGATTACTCCGCCAAGGGCAGCTGGTATAAGAACGTCACAATCTTCTACCAGTATTGAATCTGGATCTATTGAACGTGCATCGTTGAAACCTTTAACTCCACGATTTTCCTTCACGTGTTTGAGTAGGCTTGCTATGTCGAGTCCATTCTTGTTCTTTATGGCACCTGTTATGTCACTTACTGCAACGATTTTACCACCTTGCTCATTGATAAGTTTTGCAGCCCAGGAACCAACATTCCCAAATCCCTGATAGTAGGGAAAACATTGTCAAATTCGCATTCTTGTCCAGTGACAACTAACAGCAGATAAAATCATAAACTCCCCTACAAAAATTTTTTGGGGCCCCAAAATTTGGGGGCTTAATGCAAAGGCTTTACTAGCCTTACCCTGAACCACCCCTGCCCAGAACAGAAGTGAACATTTTGACTGTGCTAACCTGTATAACAAAACACTGCCCAGCAATACTCTTGCCATGCTCTTTTAGCAGCGCTTCCGTAGCAAAGAGAACACCCCTTCCGGTAGCTGCATCTCTACCTAAGGATCCACCAAGATCCTGTAATAAATTGTTACATCTCTTAGGCTAAATTGACAATGATCCCTCAACTACATAAAGAAGTCATTTTCACTACAAAGCTTGTGCATATCTAAACTAGAGCAAAAAGGTGTGATGAACACAAAAGTAGTAGAGTCAAGTTCCAACACCAACTGGATTGTGTAAAATGGGTTCATAGATTGTAGAAAAACACGAATTGGGAATAAGAACTCCGCTGAATTTTTATGCATTACTCACAATAGGTTTTCCGGTTACCACTGCAGGTGAATAACCATGAAATTTTGAGTACTCGTCTAGAATCCATGCCATTGTCTGCACAAAGAAATTGTAGCAACTCCAGTAAGACATATTTCACTAAGACGACAAAGCATTAGATGCAAATGACATCTTCTTCCATCCACTAATGCTAGGCAAGAAAAATCATATTCACAGACCTGTGGATTTGTTCCCATATCTGGCGCCGGAACATCTGTGTGAATTCCGATCAAGTCATGTATTTTTTGAGTAAATACTCGAGTAAGTCGTTCTAGCTCAGAGTTACTCAGGTCACTAGGGCTACATCCTATGCCCCCTTTAGCCCCACCATATGGTATATTGGCTACTGCTGTTTTCCATGTCATTAGCTGTGCTAATGCATTTACCTCATCCGGATCAACCTACATTAGACATCGATGAGTGACTATTCGATCAATTGATAACTCTACTCAGTCTGCACATATCGAAATACTATTTCTGTTACAATCAGCAATGAGTAATAGTCTAACATAGAGAAGAAAAAAAGAACCTCAGGATGGTATCTGATTCCGCCTTTCATAGGCCCGCGAGCATTGTCATGTTGTACTCTAAATCCAACAAAAGATGCCAATGAGCCATCATCTTTTGGTATTGTACACTCTACCTGAAGATTGCACAAAATCAGTCCAGGAACATTTGCTTTGACAAAATTTTGAAACACACACACACAAAAGTCAGTGTACTAAGAACAATAATTTAACCACCTCAAAGCCTGATCCTATAGGGACCTTTTGAACACTAAAAAGTTTAAGTCAAGCTCCCTAAGTATAAAGTCCAAAACCAGAACAAAACCTGTTTGTATTTCCCAAGACCCAAATTGGCCAAAAACTCTTGTCATCAAAGCATAAGTAGGAACACAAATAAAGGGGTGCATCTTCTATTTCAAGAATCCCTTTTCATCAAAAAGAAAATAAAGTTAAGCAAGTGACATACCTTAATTTCTCTAAAGGGGATTAGCAGACTCTTTTCCAGCTTAGAGTCTAAACCGAGCAGTCGAGCTGCCAGCTTAAAGTTTCTATTTGTTGCTGCTAAAGCATTCATGTTTCCTCAAAAAATGAAGCTCAAACCCAGAGAAAGTCAATATCCTAATATAGGAAAGGCAAAAAAATATCGCAATCAATCCTAGATTTTTAACAAGGAAAGGGTGAAGAAAGAAAATTTACACTTGGCAATAACATCTCAGCAGACATTTAATGTAACTGTTTTTAATTTTCCATGTGGAAAATAGTGAACAATCGTGTCATCAACACGTTTTAATCTTATCCATTCTATACAGAGAGCTAAAACACTAATTTGTTTCTTACCCAAAAACCAAGAATTCAACAAACGGAGGCTGCAGTTGATCAAGCAAATATAATTAGCATGGAGATTTTCAATATTTCAAGAAGTATACTTTAGAATTAAATTTGATAATTGAGGTAGCTGCTGTTTGTTTTATTATATAATAAGTGTCAGCATGTTTATCTAGCCAGTAGCCACGTCAAGTTTTTCTTAAAAAATACTCCTAAGTCATAAAGTTCCAACATGCACATTAAATACTGACTCCCCTTCTATTTCCAGTTTCGAGGCTTTTTTGTTTTTCTTCAACGAGTGTCTTCTTTTTATTGGATATATAAGTCTGTTTCGTTTACTCGAAGATTTTTACACTATCAGTTTGTTTTTATGAAACTTTGATTTTTATATCAGGTTTGTCTTAATGATTTAAGAAATTTATACACTGACGGTGCACATTATTCGAATTTGCCTTACCTGGATTAAGCCCTCACCAATTGAGTTTACCCAATTTTGGGTTCAACTGGAAGCTACTCTGACCCCAAAATAAGGGAGAAGCCATTTCAAACTTCGAGTAATATGGTTAGGGGGCAATGGACAGACTTAATTGTGCCTTAATTTTAAATACACCGTGTAAAGGGTAAAACTAAAAAAAGAATGTACAAGAAAAAGGTTTGAAGAGATGAGTCATCTTTGGCTTGTTTACCCCTTTCTTATATCTATTTATACATATATTGATAGCGCAAAGAACGTTTATACTATCTATATATTTTAATATGTTAGTAGGAAGTAATTTGTCTTCTTTTCCGGGCTACATCCCACTATTACGGATAGTTGCTTGTATGTGGTTATTTTTAGGGTAATCTGATATTATACAACAACCAACCCAATGAAACTATAAATTTTTTTTTAGATGGTTAGTGTATAGAAATTGAACTTTATCTTCAACGGCTCATTGTTTCCTACATGGGACGGGCAAAATCTTGTCCCAAGTTTTCTATTGAGAACTAGTGACTTTCACCATTAGAGTATAATAGAAAGCACTAAGGTTGTGCAGAGTTTCTCAACATTAAACACAAAGGAATTAAGCATCATAATGGAAAGTAGAAAACAGGTTATGAACTTTTTTTTTAAACCTTCCTCATTGATGTCAGCATTGTATGAGCCTGACCGACCCAAAGGACACAGCCAAGTCCAAGATGAGTACGACTATCATAACAGGTTTATGAACTTTCAAGCACGCAAACAATAGAAACTAACCAGTTTGAATAAAAATTCAAGACACCTTAGCTTAGTGTACCTCAAGACAGAAGAAGTTTAAGTCCTTCGTCCCTCTGCCTCTAGTGACTTAAGCCTGCCCCTGAAGCCAACAGAATAATGCACTAGATATGTAATTACTCTTAAGTCCTGAACTCCAATACTATCAATTTATATCCATGAAAAAGAAAAATATGGAATCAGATTCAATATATTAACCCGAATATCAAAAGTTTCTCGATTTATACTCGTATAACGAAAGTGTGTATATATGTAGGTCCAAACATAAGTAAGTGGGATTATCACTGCCATGGGCGGAGCTAGGCCGGAATGTTACACGGTATAGAAAAGGTAATTTATTTAATGGATATATACTAAATGTCGGATCTCCTTGCCTTCTTCACAGGTTTACCTTTTTTGTTTTTTTAAATTCCTTTAATAAAAATTCTGGTTCCGCCGTTACATTGTCCCTTTAGCTTCTTCACGTACGCATATTTTGCTTTTATCATAACACTAAAGTTCATAATCCCCTTGACACCCTCCGGCCTCCACCCCTCAAATAAAAGAAAATCCAATTCTAATAAGAAACTGCAGGGACACATTTCAAGATTCTCTTCTAAATTCTCACACAGAAGATGGGGCACTACTAAAAAATGTCAAATTTCGGACCATCAAACTTGTCGAAAATCGGTCGAAAATCTATTATTTCTTACGGATTTCCGACCGAAGTCAAGTGTTGAAAATAGATAGTCGTAAATTTTTCGACCGAATTGGTCGGAAATTTCCAACTGTTTTGGTCGTAAAGAGGAAAAATTAGGACACAAAATTTGCGATTGATTCAGTCGAAAATCAAAACATAAATATTAATAAAGTTATACGATTTCCGACTGATTTGGTTGGTATATTTAATAATTGATTTAAGTTATATTCAACATTTCCGATCGAATTGGTCGAAAATCCTAAAATTAATTTAATAAATAAAAAATTTCAACCACTTCAGACAAAAATCTGGGAATTCCTAGTTACAAATTCCGACTACAGTGGTCGGAAATCAGACGCAAATTTTGGTAAATTTCAGCAAAATTCTACCATATTTTGAAGCTACACCACCTGCCAAATCAAACAACCAATCATTCAACCTAATATCACAATTGCTCAACCAATTGAACCCAAAATATCAAATATCAAACGAGTAAATATTACAAAGCCTTCAAACAAGTGTAAACAATTCTATTAAACCACATTAAAGTCCAAACGTTTCAACCAAATGATATTCAAGTCGAAAACATATTATGCAAAACACATTCACAACCAAGTCTTAAAACCAACCAAGTCAAAACCAATCAAGTCTAAATACCATATTACACATTCCAAATACTATTCCTTATCAGTTTCAATCTCCTCATTGTTAGATTCCTCAAATGTACGTTGGTTGCCATACTTTTCCATAAATGTTCGCATCATACTTATTGTTTCTTGAGCAGTGTTCCGTTGTTGCGCCAATTCATTAGTTTGTGTCCACGTAGTCTCAATTTCTTTGGGTGAAGCAGAAGCACCACTGAATAATGCAGCTGGACGAGTGGAGGATTGCTGTATTCCAAACCCGTAGACTCTACCTTTATTTATTTTCATGAGAAATAAAGAAAAATAAAGTTAAATGAGCAAGAGAAGAAACATACAACTTGTGCAAAATAAAATTAAAACGAATATTACTATAAAATTCTATACCTTTATTTACTCCATCAGCTGCATGTGTTCATATTGAAGTCATATCTTTGGGCGACGGTTGGGAATCAGGCTGAGTTTGTTGCCATTCCTCCAATCTTCTTTGATGTCCTTCCTGAAATAAAAATGATAAACATTATATAAACAAACTAATCTTAAGCAAAAAAGAAAGTAGTATTAAATTTAGAATCTTACATATGTCTCTGATGCACGCTGTCCGACTCATCCTTTATTTGTACCATCCTCCTCCTCCTCCTCCTTCTTCTTCTTAAGTGTCTCCTCAAAGACATGAGTATGAGACACATTTCTCCCATGTGTCTTTTCCTGCCAAAATTATAAATATGAGTTAATATATGTTCGATCACATATAAGCAAAACTAAGAAAAAATTTATAAATAAATTACCAATCTCAATCAATGGGCCGCAAACCTAATTGAACCTCCAGTGTGCAACGAACCACCTTTACTGGAGGCGAACAGAGCCTTTCCTTGTTCACTCTTATGCTTCCATTCATCGGTATTCAACTTCTCCAAAGTTGAAGCCAGACATCTTGACACAACCAATTGGGCTTGTTGCTACCGCTCCGAGTAACAAAATGAGTATCTTTAATCCTTTATAAATCTCTCTTCTCAAAATTAGCATTCACCTGAATTTCATACTGAGGTTGCCATACACATTGAGTCTGCAATTAAAATAAAAGTTAGACGAACAGAATAATTATTATATAATTATTTTTTGTACCTTGAATTGATGCCACATATTCACTCTGATCTGGTATGGTATCTCTCTCCAGGAATCCCACTGCTCATGAAAAAATGGCTTCATAGATTCCACAACATATGTGTGGCCTGATAGGATGGCAAGAACATGTATTACATTTAACATGTAAAATAAATCTTCGTTAAATTGAATATATCTAAAGCTTTGTTCAAGCAATTAATAATAAAGAATAACTTTCCCATCCTCATGGGATACGATAATCAACCGATAAAATGACCGTACTCTACAGTCCCACCAGCATACTGTCTCCAGGAAGGAGAAACAGAAGACGTACTAGTAGATGGGATGCAGTTGTCTGAAAGATTCCAATAAACTTCGGTGGTAATGAAGTCGATTGAGAAGGACGAGAAAAACTAGGAGGAGGAATCATACTTGGCATATGTGAAGGAATGTGACTTGTAGATGGAAAAATTATTTTTTCTTCTTCTTAGATTGTTTCTGTTATTTACCCTTATAAGCCATATATGCAATTTAAGTAAAACAGATATAATAAAAAAAATTAACATGTCATAATATATAGTAATTCTTCTATATATTAAATGATTAAAGGAATAACATATAAAAAGTCCAACAAGATATAAAAATAATACAATAATATAAGGAATAACATAAGAAACCAAATAAGTCATAAAACACACAAACAACTCAATCTTCATCGCTTTCTTCATATTGATCATATTCATTTTCATCATCGCTTGTTTCATTTTCATCATATAATTCTTCATCCTCACTTGCTTCATATTTATCAATTGAACCTTCGTCCTCATTTTTTATGGATGTTCCTTCCTCATACTCACCTTGATTTGATTTAAGGACTGAAGGATCGAATTTTTCATAGAGGCTTTCACTATCCAGCAATTCACCTGCTAGTTCATCATCCATTATTGTTTAAACACTTGAAATGTTATTCTGGTACGCTACTAGTAAGTGTTGGATCATACCACTTACACAGAAAGAGTACCAGCTTTTTCTTCGGCCAACCAACACTACACTCAGTTCTAATATCTCTTGAAGCACACCATAATAATCAACATCTACATCACCTTTCATACACACGCCACTATAATAACCTCAATTTCAAAAAGCTTTGGGAACTAATAACCTCAATTTCAAAAGTGACCATTTAATTCAAGTTTTTCGACATTAATTCGCTTGTTTTAATATAAACCCAACTAAAAAATATCGAAATAAACTCAATTTTCAATCACAAACTAAGAATTGGAAGAGTTAATCCCAAATCTCAATTATAAGTTCATGGCAACAAACACCTATCAAATTATTTTATTATTCTTCTAATTAACAATATCAAACCTAGATTCAACTACCAAATTAATATGGAATTTCATTTATTCTAATAAAATTACTCAAACCTAGATATTCAACTAGCAATTCCCTTACGGTACTTGTATATTGGTCATGGGATAAAGACGAGGGAGAGAGCGAGAGAGAGAGAAACTGACTGCGGAAGAGAAAGAGAGGGGTGTCACCGAAGAAGGACGGAAGTCGGAGAGAGAGGGGTGTCGTCGTCCCCGTCGCCGAGCTGCCTGAGGGTGGGGGTTCCAGCCACAGAGAGAGAGAGAAAAAGAGAGAAGAAAGAAAAAAAGAGAGAGAGAAAAGAAAGGGGCCAGGAATTTTTTAAATAAATTTCCGATCGAGTCAGTCGAAAATTTAAATTTGTTTAAAATTTTCATTTTTCGACTGATTCAATTTCAATGTTGGTCAACGAAGTCAGACCTTGTTTTAATAAACTTTTGCTATCGAATCGGTCGCAACCTTTTTTTTTTTTTCGCAGTATTTTGCGCCAAAATTTCCGATAGGTGTAGTCGGCATATCTGCCATAAAAATTAAAATTTATTTTTAGCACATTTCTATTCGAATCCATCGGAAATTTCCGACCGAATCCGTCGGAAATTTCCGACTACTTTTCCCCGTCAAAAATGACACTTTTTTAGTAGTGGGGGTATTTCAGAGACTAAATAAATGAATGAATTTTAATATGAATATGAATATGAATGGAGTTTAAGTTATATGTGTTGATTGTGTAAAAAGATATTGACATAATTAGCATATTATAAGGTAATTACGACTAAACTTCACGATAAAAAGTAATTGATAATCTAGTAATTAAAACTGGTAACTAAACTTTAATCGTACATATATAAAACTACTCAACCACAAGAATAACAAATATGCCTCAATCCTAAATAAGTTGGGTCGATTATATGAATCTTCATTACTCATATAAGCTCATCGAATTATCATCATACCAAGTAAAATAAAATATAAAAAATGAGTTAAATATATATATAAATACTAGTAATAATAATAATAATATTAGAAGCTCTTTGACGAGAATTTAATTATTTCCAACTAATAAATACTACATATATAGATCTTTTCTTCCACTGTATCTTATTTTGTAGCTAAGGCTACGTTAACTACTAGTAATTTTTTTTTATTTATGCTGTTAGTATATAGTACTTAAATCCACATGAATATGAATGTATGCTCATGTTATATGACGTATTGGAAGGGGTGGGGCGTGGGGGACTAGTCCATACTCTATAAACCAATAACATCAGCATCAGTACTAAAGTAGAGGAAGCTGAAGAGGAGAATCTAAGGTTTCATCATCAAATTCCATTAAATCCCAAAAACTGTTTCAATAAGAGAGAAAATAAAGAATAATATCTCTTTCAAACGTGGAACCAAATATCCTTTTGTCCTCGCGAATAACAAACATACTACGTGAATCTGATGTAAACTCCATCTTCCTCTCTTTCCATAATAACTAGTTTGTTCGTATAGAAGCTTCCTTTCCCATCCAGTTCGATATCACTAATTCGAATTTGTATCGCGTAAGAATTAGGGGTGTACAAACCGAACCGAAAAACTGCATCAAATTGAAAAATCAAATCAAACCGATTAAAAAATCCGATTAGATTTGATATTGAGTTAAAAAATCCGAACCAAACCGACATATAAATATATAATATTTATATATACTTTTAAGATTTTATATAGAATTTTCTTTAAAAAATGTCTAGAAATATTTGGGATTCTCTTATGAGATGTAATATTTTAATAGAATATGAAGTGCTCCATTTTTATTAACTTTAAATAATGAGTTTTATGATCACTTTCTTATCAAGTGTTATTGAAATGTGTCAATCTCTTTGTTCTTCCATATTCATATGTCAAGATCTATTAAATTCGCATATCTTTTTCGAAGTTGAAGTGATATTTAGATAATTTAAAATTAAATAGAACATAATTTAGGTATCATATTAATTTTTATGTTTAATTATTAAATCCGGTTAACCTTGATAGTGTACATCAAGGAAAGGTTATTGTGAGACGATAAGAAAATAACTATTATGTGTTATTAAGAAAATTATCCCATAAAAATATTTTAATGGATCATATTGTTTATTAATTTTTTTAAGTTTTACTAAACATATATTTACTTGTAAATAATTTAACAAAGTAAGATTGAAATAATATATATATATATATATATAACAAAAATTCCCGAAAACCCGAAAAAACTCGACAAAATCGAACCAATCCAAACCGATATGGTTGGTTTGGTTTGGTTTTGATAGAAACCGAACCAACCCGATCCATGTACACCCCTAGTAAGAATCATTAACTGAAAATATTCTCTATCAGATTTTTTTTCATATCTAAAATTCAAACCCAATACCTCTAGTTGAAAATAAAGAAATCATATCCATTCCACGATAAACTTCATGTCTAATAATTCATGTTTAATAATTCACGAGATTCTTTCCACTTTAACGGGATGCAATATATTTACTACTATTATTTTTTTCGAATGCAATCTAGTTGATAAATTATATCTTTTGCCTTTATATTATATATATAATGACAAAGGGTGACATTCCTTTCTGAAAAAAAAGCCTTACATAATCAGAAAGGTCACATATTAAACCAATAATGAAGTAATTAGGCTCCTTGAAGTCAAACGGTATTTAGAAAGAAATCTTCTTTTCCTGACTTGTAACTCATTTTAATTAGTTTCAAAAAATTTATGAGAATGATAGTTGAAGGCCAAAAAGTTGAGACCGAAAAAGACAAAAAGTGAAACACCCTTCACTGCTCCTTGTGATAGAAAGCAAAAGCACAAAAATCACCCACATTTTTTAATGATCATCTTACATATTTTTCTCCAGCTTTAATGTTGATTAAATCGACAAATATTTTTCTTTTTAGTGTGGACCATATATTTTTTTGTTTTTAAGTTTTAATTTTTGTTTGTCAAATTTATCGAAGTAGACACCAAATTCTAGGAAAAGGAAAAGGGAAATTGATGAAAGATATATATACTTGGTATAAGGCTATAAGTCATGAATACAAATTCTTTGAATTTTTAAGAGACTTCTGCATTTTTCTTCAATTAATTTTGCTGAACTTAGAGGAATATTTGCAGGCAACCAAATGGAATATGAAGTGCAGATAAAGAACAGAATCCGACAATTCATTGCTTCGATATAGTTTATTTATAAATTCCCGCTATATTATCCCCAAGCTCAATGGCTATAACAAGTTGTTTATGGAATAAAGTGAAGATTATAAAGGCTGAAAGAGTAAGTTATCTGTTATATATTCTTTCTATTCGCTAACTACAATAAAAAATTGAAAGATTGCTTGTTATATTCTGCCCGAAAAATGACACAAATCCGAATATGAGGATCATTGCGTTATGTGTTTTGTTTACCCGAAAAATGGATAGAGTTGAATTTATATGTAGTTCTAAGGATACGTGGTATAACTTGGCACAAATCGGAAAGTAAGCAAAAATATATTGAGTATTGACAGTATAAAGAATGAAATACAAACCAAACTGAATGGAAAATATTTTATGAACCACCAAGTTGAATCAATGTACTAAGCGCAAAAAGGGATAATCTCTATGTGAATATCACTATATCTTTCTATTTGAATATCAATAATATGAGAGTGTATGAATGCCTTAATGTTGGGATCTCTTACAAAAATAATAGTCATCCCTCTTATACTGGAGGGATCCTACTTTGGATATAATTAAAAATACATAGTGGGGAACCCATGATAGATTAGCTTTTCCCTAATTCCCGCCGAGATTCTCTCCCTCAATGTGGCTATAACGGCTCTTGTCTCTTGGCTCGATCTTGATCGGACTTGGTATTAGTCGATTTTCAGGTTTAGAGCTCGATATTGACTCGGGGCCCGGTATTGACTTTGGCTCGATATTGGTCGGTCTCTGGCTCTTAAGCTCGATAACACCACCTCACATCATAGTTCCATTTGGACTCGAGCTCGGTAATGAGTTCGAGATCGGCATTCGATCGGTCCCAGAAATTTGAGCTCGGTAACCTGGCTTCAGATCTCATCCCGATATTATGAAGATGACATTCGATCCATTATGTTCCAATATTGACTAGTCATACGAAGGTCGAAACCAGTTTTGACCGTATATAAATAGTTTTCTCGTTTCTCGAGAAGAATGTGGCGAGAAATGACATGATTTTCTAACGGTATGACTAGATATAAACTGACGTTTTCATCGAACCAGATCATGACGTATGTGATAGCTGTCTCGTCGGTTCAGTTACCAAGGCTTTAAATGAGTGTCAGAAGATGGTCGACCGCTACTGATATTGAACCGTCATTACCAATTCTATAAATAGCTCCTCTCTTCACCATTTTTACTTTCAGATCTCCAATCACCAAATATACTAAGTTCTTATTGTATCTTCTGAGTTCTTCATCTGTGAATTTGTGATTCTCACTTACAAAATCTCTCTTCAAAACACCAAATCTTTGTCATCTCTTTCTGTTTTCAATCTTTACATCTAAATGGCAAAAACGTCAAAAATTGTTCCCCAAAAAGAAAAAGCTTCTTCTTCGCGGCCCGCCGGCGACAAAACACCGATAGAGCCACGACCTGAGGAGTGTGTTCCCGGGGGTATGTTCTTACCTCTGATTTGAAGATCGACAAAGCCTCGTCGGTTCCCAGTTGATGCGAGCCAGTATCGAGGTATATGTGCTCGATAACCGAGGAACATCTTGAACAGTTAAGAAAAGATTGCAACTGGGAGAACAAAGAAGTGATAATCCCGGCTCCCGAAAAAGATATTACTACCCATGTGAAAGGGGTTTTAAGCGTTTATACTTACCCTTTTACGTTGGGCTCGCTCGACCCTGTTGTCATCGATTTTTGCCGCCAATACCGAACAACCCTAGGCCAAATCCATCCTTCTTTTTGGCGGATTGTTATTTTGATCCGCTTCTTCGTGAACAAAATCGAGGGGATGCCTTTCACCCTCGACTACCTCATCAGATTGTACAGCCCCCGCCTCTATCAAGGTGGGTTAATATAACTCCACTGTCGGGCTAACAAAGTGCTATTCTCGAGTATAGACGAGGACAAGGACCAAGGCTGGATGGGCAGGTTCATTCGAGTGAAGACCTCCAATCTAATCCCGGCCTAGAAGATGCCGTTTCCCGAGGAATAGAACATGAAGCGTAAGTATAATTCTACTGTTAGCTCCTATTGTTTCTTTCTCTTTCGTTTCTCTTACCGATATCCTTTTTCGTGATGTAGCGGTTGCTTGGATGCC